CCACGAAGGGAGTTGTCCAGGGGTCGAAATAAGTGGTAATCCGATGGCGCGAGATCAGGGCTATATGGTGGGTGTAACATCAATTCCCAATCAATATCCATAAATTTTTGCCGAGTGGACAAAGACGTGTGCGGCCTAGCATTGTCCTGTTGGAAAATGACACCTTTACGATTGACCAATTCTGGTCGCTTTCCCTTGATCGCTGCATTCAATTTGTCCAGTTGCTAACATTCACGGATAATAAAAAATAACATAATAATAATAATTTTATAATATAACATTTTCGGATATCATAAAAATGAGAGTGAGAGACATCTATAAGTGAAATCGGCAATTACTTAGTTGCCAACCCAATAGTGCGGCCGCAATAAATTCTCGTTTTTTTTGACAACTTTGCGCTGTGAACAAACGGCCGTCACCAAATTTGTATATAGAGCGCGGGTTCGCGGCCTCGTAGCCGACTATTTTATAAATTTGACGAGACGTCCGTAATGGCTGTCTTATCTATCCCTGTGTTCGAACACTTGCCCTTGTCGCGTCTAGTTTGATTTAGAATAAGTCGGGGTTCACATTCGGAGATCGAATTTTGTGTTTCGTGTTGCAATTTTCCAATGCCTAGCCCCCTAACAGTCTTTTGTGCGTTTCGAATTGAATTTCTGAATATCGTGCATTATGTCAGGTGGACCACGTACCTACTACTGCAGTGCTTGACCCGGTCTAAGGACCTGTTTAATCCCGGAGTTGCCCTTAATTTGCGACTGGGGTGTGTATACTAAAGAAAAGCACTCTACAAACCATTGTATAATATTCGCTTCTTGTAATTAGTATTTCTTTGAAATCAAAGTATATATTATTTTCAGTTGCTACACATGCTACGGACGAAGCATTCTCATCAAATACACAAGAGGAAGGAAATGTGTAGCATAGTACTACTGGTAAGTTAGAGAATATAATATCTTTATTATATTTTTATATTTATATATTTTTTAAGAATATAATATCTAACAAACAATCAACAGAAAACGAAGCAATGTCAAGTAGCTGCAAGGATGCCAGTCTGCCTTGAAAATAAACAAACAATACAACAAAGTCACATGATGAGGAGCATGTGAGCAGATTTAACAGATGAAGTGCGGAAAAATAGGTCCAAAAAAGATCTTACAACGTTTCCCGCAATTACAATTTCCCCTTGGTACAGAGGAGGATAATGTTACACACACAATTTGAAGAACATCTTTAAGATGTCCTGAATGTCCTACACCAGACGTCTTAAAGACGTCTCTGGGCTATCTGGGTATGTATTTCCACGTGTATTTCGCAAGTTCCACTTTACCGATTGATTTTTATCGCACGAACCACCGTTTTTAAAAAAACATTCTTTTTTTATATTATCTTAAAAATGTTACAAACATACAAATATCGAAAAAATAAATATTTCAATTTCAGAGTGTCGCCATTTTTTAAATTATCGAAATTTTTCATTTATTGTGTCTCACACTATAGTCTTACTCATACTAAACAAAATATCATTTTGTTAGTTTGTTTGTTTGTTTCAAATTGACGAGACTGGCGGAATCATGCACACCAACATGACACTCTTTTCCTAAAATATTTTTGTTTAACCAAACGCAGCGTATGTAATTTTTATTACTGTTGTCAAATAAAAATAGTTTTTTTACTTTAAATGTTATTAAATATGTGTACGAAAATACATATACAAAAAGTCTTATAACTTCGTTGGATATAATCAATTCCGAAAAGACCGAAGAATCGTACTCTAGACCAGTATACCTCTTTAACAGTTTGTCTGCCATGCCATGACACGTCTTTGATTATTTAAATTTTAATATTCGAAATATTTCCTTAATCTAAAATGTATTCTCCTTCATGTAAAGGCTAATAAAATCTGTGTTCCCACTGCATCGGTACAGATCAATCAGGAAGGGTAGTTGGCAAAGACAAACAAGTTTGAAGTATTTCGTATTTCTTCAGTGTTATTTGAGAAGGGTGCAGTTCCACTCGATAAGCCAAACGCTATGGCAATTCGTTTTTCATTCGCATGAGGAATAATTTTGGTCCTAAAGTAGAATCTGGGATAAAATTCCTAAAATTCTCTCCCAATAATACTATTAGCTCATATGTATCAATTGATGAAAAGAATACAACTTCATAAAAAGAAAAGTTTAGATCTTAAATTTTTTATGAAGTAAACACTTTCTTATCAAGTTTTTTTGTAGCAATTTGTTGCGATATAAGGAATCAGACACTTTAATTTGAATAATATTTTTGTCAGTTTATTGCTTATACGTGGGAAATCGAAAATAATTATATGGAGGATTGAAAAAAATTAATTACTTCTCTTCAAAGTAAAATTAAAAAAGAAAATGTTTATCCCAAAAATTACTCATTAATTATGTTACGAGCCGAGGGCCAGGCAGCTTTACGTGACCGAAGGTTGGATGCGATTTTGGAGTTTTGGTAAGGGAATTGCGTGAACTAGCCGATGTCTATCTCATCATCGCGGGGCACCACTAGATAGGATAGATTTTTGTGAACTAGTCAACGTCCATTTCATCACCGGGGCGTCACTGTTAGGATAAATGAATTCGTGAAGTAGCCGATGTCTATTTCATCATCGGGGCGTCACTAGTAGGATAACGTGAAGTAGTCGATGTCTATCTCATCACCAAGGCGCCACTATAAGGGCAGGAGTTTGGTTACCTCGTAACTTTTTACAAAGAAGAAATGAAGATACATCACGAGCGGTAATGGTATATCTCTGTGGGTACGTATCAACTACTGCTTCGAACCAGGAAATGGGATAATTGAATTTAAAAACTTGATAGACTGATAAAAGATAGTACAGGGTTCCCCGGAAAGAATCATCCGATTTCAAAAATTTATATTCTAAAAAATTACACACAGAAAATTATAATTCAAACACGAATATAACGGGAAAATGTATGAGTTTTTGTTTACAAGTGTTCAATATGACTTCTTTTCGTTACACGTATGATATCATTGCGATATGAAAGTTCTTGCCAAACACGGTGTAATGTATCTCTGGTAATTGTTTGTACAGCATCACAAATGCGTTTTTTCGGTTCATTTACACTTGTAGGTAAAGGTGGTACAAAGACAAGATCCTTCACAAATCCCCAAAGGAAGAAGTCGCATGGGGTTAGGTCGGGTGATCTCGGAGGCCAACTGTGTAGAACCATATTATCGGATGAACTGCGACCAATCCAACGGTTTGGTACATGAGAAAAAAATAATAAAAAGTAAAACTCGCACATTTTCCCGTTATATTCGTGTTTGAATTATAATTTTCTGTGTGTAATTTTTTAAAATATAAATTTTT